TATTTTCTCCAGAAATAAATTGAAGAAGTCGGGAGTCCCCTTGTCTAATCCTCGTTTGATATCGAACGGCTCGAAGAGGTTTTTCCCGATCCTGCCAGAGCTTTTAGTATTGATCATCGTTAATTTACACAGCCGTATTAGTTTGCAGGGATTCCAAATTCCGAGATAGCGGCTTAAAGGCAGCTCCTTTTCGAGCTGTCAAAAGCTGCTTTCAAATCGACGAAGAGATGGTGTGTGTCGATCATCTTTTCCAGGCCTGAAGTCACCCTTATAAGGTCCAATCTGTTATTAGAAATCAGCAAAAAGACTGTAAAATCATAAAAAGCTATTGATCTATCGGGTTTTCTCGTTATCATTGGGTTACAAGCGATTTTATTGTTGGTATTGTTAATTATCTTGCCACTAATGATGACGTTTGATATACGTACGTACGGTGCGTATCTACCAAATCTGACCACCATTTGCTCAGCGTCACTGCGAATTTTGTTCGAATGTTGTTGCTCTTGTTTCAACACTTGTACACCAAAATATACATATGTACAAGCTAAAAAAATTTCAAGTTTTATTTATAGTAASTACATAATTTTTTATTTGCTCTAAAATAAACTATTTTAATTGGTAATTTTTTGCTCGCCTTAAAATTTGGTATTTCGCCATCGGTAATGTTCCACATAATGAGTGATTTCTTCTTCGCTTCTTTTTTCTCTTTACATTTATGTTATTACAAATTGAAAATAAAATTCATAAGTTTTAATGTGTTATGTTGACTATTTGTTTTACAGTTTTGTGGGCGTTTGCCAGAACATCAATAATAAGTGATAGCCTTTGTAGTAGGTGAGCATCGTTGACAGATAAGTCGTTGCATTTTAGTTATAGCTGGTTTTGTAGATCGTCCTCTAAGGGCTATACTACAAACATACTGACTATAAGAATTCATAACGCATTGCCTTTCTAAATTTGAGACCAATGGAAGATTTCTATACTTCTGGAGACCTTACAATCTTTCCTGCTATGATCGCATACTTCCAGTTCTAGTGAGTCAGCCAGTTTAGCGATTCCTTACGTTTTCGCCTTCAACATCTACCTTACCTACGTATCCAGCCGACAGGATCCTGTTAACTAGTTTACAATTCTTAGCCCGCAGTGGGGCTTTCAAAATTAGGTTTTCTCTTTGCCTTTCGTTGGGGACGATTTTATCACTATATGCAGTGACCCACCTAAGACACTGTCTGATAAGGTCGTTTCCAACGTATTTCAACCCGCATAAATTTTTTGTTTTTTTTTTGTTTTTTTAGTATTTTCCAGAAAGTTAGTGGTCTTTAACGGTCTCGAGGTTAAGAAACCAAGACGGGCGGCAACGCACGACCTTAAGGGAAACTTATTCAGAGTCATCTACCACATCAACTTAATGATGACGGTAGAGGAACGTACTTCAACGGGACGTAGGCAGGATGGATGTGATTAACCCGCAAGCCGTTTTTGAAGCGAATACCTCGACAATCAGCCGAGAGTTCAACAAAAACTAGAATCCAAAAATCCAAAGTCAGGCAGTTTTCAAAGGTCGTGAAGGTCACAGGTCATTTAGTGTTACCGAACCAGGCACACTGACAGTCGATCGCATTATTGGCGTTGGGGTTGGATAAATTTCTGGATCCTGTATAAAAAAACGGCAAGTTTAGTTGCTACTCAATTGTATAAATTTTGAAAATTTATACAACCAACTTTATTTGGTATGTCGTGGTCGTGCTAGTCTATTCATTATTTTATTAGTATCTTTGTGATTTATCATATTTGCGGTTTATTTTCGGTTTTKGGATATTAGATGAATGTTTCAATTTCTGTGTGCCGGTTTTGTTATACGAATTACTTGCGTTTTTGCTATAATCTACGGTTGGTAGGAAACATACTTTAACGAGCGGTCTGGTTAGCGTTCCGTTTTGAGTACGGAGGTCAACAACTCGTATATGACCATTGGAGCCGTGATGTAGCTTCCCTATTCGGCCAAGCCCCCATTTGATAAACTGTTTTCCTGTGACTCTTTGAGCTCGATAAATGTTTTGCCAATGTCGCTCATGAGTTTTGGGGGAAAACCGCTTCGCCTGACGAAGCGAGCAAATGCCTCGAGAAAAGCCACCTTTATTAGATTAGTACATAGCTAGTATATAGCTACCCTTTCATGAGGGTGGCAGACCTTAACATGGACACCTTTATCTGACGCGCAGCAAAATCGACTCTTGTGATAGTGAAAAGCAAAACGAAGTTGCAACGTTCCAGTGAAAGTGTAGCCATAATCTGCGTTCGCAGCTTCTGCTATGATCTAGGATCTTGCACGTAAAATTTCATTTCTTTTTATGGCTTGAGTTTTGAGTAAAGTCAAGTTACGGACTATTTATTCCTTGAGGTAATGTTATGCGTGTAGTAATTGTATGTGGACATAGTTGATATATAGGGTGGTAAGTTGCTATCTTCTCTTCTTCTSTGGTATAACTATGGGATAGCGTTCGTTATACGTTAGGCTTGAAATGGCAATCCAACCATTCGCACGAAGTAGTCCTTTCGTATTTATGAATAGTTTTTCTACTAAGAGTGAACTCTTCTTATCAATCAGTTTCGATTCTCTTCGTAATGATGTCTCTCGACTGAAGTAGTGCGCTTGTGTAGTAGCAATAAGTGAGATCTTTGCTTTTTGTAAGGCTAGGTGCGTCACTGTATCGCCCTGGTGTACTCCCTTAACTTTAAATTTGAGTCGCTTTAAGAACTTGAGCATGGTACGATGAAAATCGTTCAAGGATGTCAGTATCACAACAAGAGTTGTGAAACAGTCGACATTCTGGGGTAATTATATAGCGCTTGGGCGATTATGGCCAAGAATCAGGAGACTCTGATAAGCATCGGGGACCATTTCACCAAAGGGTTGTGGTGGCAAACAGCAAAGGTTTGCAGCCTCTTGTACTTAGATTGGCAGAATTGTCAGCACTAGCTGATCCCACAGGGTCAATCACTTGAGACATTCGATTGCAAATATGCGTCTTCCGAGCATGTTGACGTTTTTCTAATCAGGCTTATACAATTTCGGAATCAGACCAGAGATATAATTTATATTTTGCCATGTTTAGATGCGCTTCCACCATGGCCAATAATTTGGCTAGTAGTAGCGCACCACATATTTTCCGGTAGACTTATTGTTTTTAGAGAAGCCACCTTTTCATTTTCCAAGGCATCGCTACATTCACCGAACATACATATCAGTGGTTCAGATAATACCACTATAGCTTATATCATATACCTTATTAGACGAACATACCTCTAAAACAACATATAATGAAGATTTGCTGAATATAATATGGCTTTTCCTAGAAAAAGATTCAAAGAACACATATCTATAAGCCAATACTATACATACTCGTACAATAAATTTCATTATCTAACAAACATTTGCTAACATCTGTGATCTTGAACATTGAAAATTTCAAACGATCGAACATGCCAATACACAAACTGTTCTCAATGTGTCACATTGTCGACTCAGCGGAGACACATTATAAAAATATTTGTCGCATATTCTTTGCGAAATTCCTAATCGAACAATCACTTCCGCACGCGCACAGCCGCCCCCGCAAATTTTAACACTAAATTATTACATTAACCATAGATCCGTTGCACGAATACCGATGGCAAACATACATAGCTATGTGTTTGTTGTATATAATTTATATGTATGGATATGTATAGAAATAYTGCGTGCGAATAAAGTTATACTATGTTGTGGAATCGTGGAATCGTCATGGTGGCCAAAATAAAATTTTTGATCTCMAAAAAGATTACGCGAATGCCATTCGCATATATTTATGATCATAGATATATSTGTATGTTTGTATGTATGTCTATACCATCGCAGGAACATGTGTCTGTACCGGCARTATCCTCGCTGTGGAGCAGACGATCAACAACAAAAGCAAAAACACAACCACGTCTATGAAGCGTGGCCAAAGTGAATAAAATAAATTCAAGAAAAAAAAAAACTCGAAATAATTTGATGATGAACAGTAGCCGCAAAAATTCCAATGCCCGCAACTTATAACCGAAAAAAAATAGCAACAACCAAATGATCTACATACAAACTTAAACTTGACGCGCGGAAAAAAGGAAAAGCCAACGCAACACCAACAACRAGCAAAAAGGAATCTAAACACACGTAAACGCACAGCCACAAAGCAATATCTTGAGCAACCAAATATTCACACTGAAAAATGAATGATCCACGGTCGGATACAGTAGTACAACCGAATATGGATCGGGGGGTACGAAGCGTTRGGTGACTAAGTGGACAGATAGTATCTAGGTGGCTAGATGACTTGCCAGATTGAGCAGGCAAAATGCTGGTGAGGGCGTTCTTGGCAACTAAATGCACACACATACACATATACATATGTATGTATGTATGCATGTATATTTGGCAGTCAGTGGCGTTGGCGCTAACGCTGGCACTGACGCTTACGACGCTGACGATGAACTGTTGCTGGCGAATAAGTGCCGATGGAAAATGACAGGCAGGGCGATGAGGCCATATTTTGGTGCTGGTGTTGCCTGAAGTACCTTCGAGTAAGATCAGACTGCATAACCACACACAGTTGAATGTATCCATGTGTGTGTGTGTGTGTTTGCAAAATCATCTATGTGTGCGTGTGTATGCATGAATATATTTAATGTGAACGCGTTGTGGCGGCAAGTGGTTGGCAGTTGGCGGTTGGCGGTTGGCGGTTGGAAGGATGAATAGATGGATGGATGGATAGATTTGTTGGCTGCTTCGGTCGTTTCGTTGGTTAGTTGACTTTACTGTGCTTGTATTGTATTGTGTGCGTGCGGATTGGAGAACAACTACACACACACACACGCATATGTATACAAATGTACTTGATCACATGCAAAAATACATGCTCACATACATACATATGTACTTATAATGTTATAAATATTGATTTTGCACATTTAGTGTTTTAGTTTATCAGCGATTCTCATCCACCGTGGAAGTGCGAAAGTGGTTATCGCCGACGCGATAAACCGAGTAAAGAGTCGTAGACGACGTGTATTTTTTGTGACCTGTGTCCCAAGAGGGTGTTTAAGTATTCGATTTTCAATTTTTAGCGGCGTTCATATAATCATACAAAATGGTAATTAGTGTGTGAAAAATTTTGAAAAAAAAAGAAAATATGTGAATAACAAATATGGGCAAAATAAAAAAATTATAAATAATAAA